TCGACAATAAATAATCTACAAATTGGCAAATAAACCCTTTTGATGCGTGCATATTTGATATATAGTCGAATTATTCATTCACTTTGAGCGCATTTACAGTTTGATTTGGACTTTGGCAACCCCTGCCCCCTCCTCCATGCGATGCATTTGCCATTTGAAATCTCTGCAGTTTGTGTGTGTGCGTGTGTGTGTGTGTGCAACCCTTTTTGCTCTGATGTTGAGGTCTATGTATGTGGCTGGGCATAGGCAGGCGAACCTTTGCCCCGATTGCAATTGATTTGAAACGTATTAACCCATGACCGCTTTAGCCATTGTTTATTGACTAATTTGTGGTTAAAAATTTGGCGCGATTTCACAATTCGCATTCCTCGAGACAGATTGAGATTTATGTGCGAGTGCGAATGCGAGTGCATCTGTATGTGTGTGTGTGTGTGTGTGTGTGTGTTTGCCAATAAATCTTTTTGCTTTTTTTAAGTGTGCGAAAACTTTTGGCTTGCTGTGCAGCGAGCGGAAAAACAACAACAACAAAGAAGAGTTTGGACAAAGCGAACGAGAGACGTGAGAACGAGGAGTGCGACCGAGAGGTCAAGGGTCGAACTAGAGGCGCACGTTGAGATGCCAACTAAAGCCGATCCCATATAAAGTTGAGTACTATTGGAGCTCTTGGAACTGCAGACCCTTCGATGATGATAGCCAGCTAGACACCCAGAGAACTGCACTGGACTGGGATATACCCCTTATGGAAATCTATGTGTTCGCTGTCCTCCGATCCTCGCCGCAAGTAGCTCTAATGGATCCGTTGTAATTGCATTCAGATAACTGTTAAGAGCTTGTCGCAAGTGCCTCGACTTCCTGGCTGCGCCCTAATTGACAGTTGTCAACGGGGGTGGAGCGGGTGGCAGCGGCGAAATTCCAGAGTCATAAAATTAGAAATTAACCCGATGGTAAAACATCTGTAAAAGAGCTAAACAAATTTTTCATTTGCCATCATAAACTTGCAGTTCGACTTTTGTGCTAATGTGTTAGACGCGTGGGTCGTGGGTCGCTGATCGAGGTGGTGGTTGCTGGCGGTGCTGGTGGTGCGATATGCATCGTGCTCGACGTTAGCCTTTGACAGTTTATCATTAGGCTGAGGGTTGTCAAAGGTCCTTCAGGCAGCATAATGACGACTCTCCTGGCCCCCCCCACCATTAGATGCATGGTAAACAGTTGAGGGGTTTTCATAAATTTAATTGATTTTCTGCACTCGGACAACGCAGTCATTAGCAGATCCTTGAACAGCGATAAACCCAACCACTAACTGCTCCTGTTCTTATGATTAATGTACGCACTCACTGACCAGAGAGGCGGAGAGGGAGGGCTACAGAGAAGAAGGGGGAGAGGGAGAGCGAGCGAAAGCAAAACAGAAAGACACATAGATGCGAGAGAGAGAGAGAAAGGAAATGAGATTGAGAGAGCTCCTGCAAATACAGACCAAAGTTACCAAAATAACGCTTAAACGGCACATAATATGTTTATACAATGTAAGCACAACGAGAGATTCTGTTGTTACAGCCCAACGGATGGCCAATAATATATGCAATCATAATTGATTTTCTTTTCTTTCTTTTGTTTTCTTTGAATAATCTTAGTTGCATGACAAATCCTGCAAATCAACTTCGATAATTCGGCAGAGGTGAATTATAAATCATATCACGTATCGAAAGTCTGAAAAATGCGTGCGGTTAACAGTGCGCGTCGAATAATCGTGCAAAATCTAGTTCTCATTAGCTAATTGCTTTCCAATTGGAAATTATCCAATTGGACTGCGGTCATGAGTGGGAGAGTGCTTAAAGCTGAAACTTGAGTATGGTAAGGCTACATGAAAAAGAGCGAGAGAAAATGAATGTATTTCCCAGAAACTAACTGCTCAAATATTTGCCTGCCTGCGTACTTGTCAACTAGTGGGCGAATCGGAAGAGACTGCGTAAGTGGGAGTGAGGAGGAGATAAGTAGTGTGCGACTAGAAGCTTGCTGCGCAGCGTTAGTGAGAACGAGCTGAAGAGAGTGTGAGCGTGCGTAAGAAAGCATCTTTCTATCTAGCTTAGCTGAAGGGGAAATCAAAGCACGAATGGGGGGAGCGGGAGAAATAGCATGTGTAGAAGTAGCTACCTGCGCATCGTGAGTGGGAGTGAGTTGAAGAGAGTGTGACCGTGCGTAACTAAGCATCTTTCTATCTAGCTAAGTAGAAGGGGAAATCGAAGCACGAATGGGAAGAGCGGCAGAAATAGCATGTGTATGAATAGCTAGATGGCATCGTGAGTGGGAGTGGGTCAAAGAGAGTGTGAGCGTGCGTAAGTAAGCATCTTACTGTCTAGATAAGCCGAAGGGGAAATCAAAGCACGAATAGGAAGAGCGGCAGAAATAGCATTTCTTTAAGTAGCTAGCTGCGCATCGTGAGTGGGAGTGGGTTAAAGAGAGCGTTAGCGTGCATAAATGAAATTTGCTATGCGGCCAGAGCTAAGGAGCAATGTGAAAGGGGAAAGCTGCGGCGCAGCTAAATGACAAACAAAGTTTGACTCAGGGCACAGGCAAAGCTGCATCTATGTGTTGCACTACGTTTCCTCATGTGGAAAAAAGTATGTATGCAAATTTGCTGGCTTGCCTGCCAGGTTGGGCCTTGGGCCAATCAATTACATAAAAAAATTAAGGCAAAGAGGTTAAGCTTGGGTAAGGCAGAGAGCGAGCGAGCGAGTACGATTCAATAAACTTAACATGCTCATCGTTAGTGAGAGCGAGTTAAAGAGAGTGTTAGCGTGCGTAACCAAGCATCTTTCTATCTAGCTACATAAGTCGAAGCGGAAATCGAAGCACGAATGGGGAGAGCGGGAGAAATAGCATGGGTAGAAGTAGCTGGCTGCGCATCGTGAGTGGGAGTGAGTCAAAGAGAGCGTTAGCGTGCATAAATGAAATTTGCTATGCAGCCAAAGGTAAGGAGCAATGTAAAAGGGGAAAGCTAAAGAGAGTGTTAGCGCGCGTAACTAGGCATTTTTCTATCTAGCTAAGCCGAAGGAGAAATCGAAGCACGAATGGGGAGAGCGGGAGAAATAGCATGTGTATAAGTAACTAGCTGCGCATCGTGAGTGGGAGTGGGTTAAAGAGAGTGTGAGCGTTCGTAACTAAGCATCTTTCTATCTAGCTTAGCTGAAGGGGAAATCGAAGCACGAATGGGAAGAGCGGCAGAAATAGCACTTGTTCAAGTAGCCAGCTGCGCATCGTGAGTGGGAGTGAGTTAAAGATAGCGTTAGCGTGCATAAATGAAATTTGCTGTGCAGCCAAAGATAAGGAGCAATGTAAAAGGGGAAAGCTGCGGCGCAGCTAAATGACAATGTTTTACTCAGGGCAAAGGCAAAGCTGCATCTGTGTGTTGCCTCATGTGGAAAAAAGTAAGTATGGAAATTTATTTGCCTGCCTGCCTGGTTTTGCCTTGGGCCAATCAATTAAGAATTACATAAGAAAAAAAATTTAGGCAAAGGGGTTAAAGTTTGGGTAAGGCCGAGAGTGAGCGAGCGAGCGAGCGAGTAAGATTCAATAAACTTAACATTTTATTCAAATTTAATTGCAGCCATGCATTAATTTTAATGTTTTGCATCGGAACCTGATCCTAAGCAACTGTCAAATGCTTGACAAACTCTTCCAGCGGAGACGCGCACTGAGACTGAGACTGTGTGTGTGAGTGAGAAAGATTTGCTGTCCCGTTTATGGAACTCATTTGCATAGGGAAGACGGAGCCAACCCTCTTTACAGCGGCCTCCTTTTCTTATTCGTTTGGCCAATGGCTTTTGCGGTCGCGAGGTTAGATTTATGAACAGCAACAACAATAACAATATTCTATAGTTTCCCTTCATTTCGCTCTAAATGCGCATTTTTATGTCTAAACTTTTGGATTTTCTTTTCCAAATTCTTGTAATTTTCTTGACAATTAAATATGCAAATGCGACTAAACGTTTAGCCCCTGGCCCGAGACCCTGCCCCTGGTCCTGATCGTGGTGCATTGTACATTTATCGTATTTTGTCCCGACCCGAAGCAAACAAATACAAAAAAATAAAAAAAAAAATAAAAATTAATTTAGAGCTAAGATTTACTTGATTCTTTGTTCAAATTGCATTCACATCAAATCGGGCAGAAAGTTATTTGTAGTGCATTAATATAGCGTAATAGTTTGCTTGGCTATCTCTGATCTAGGCATCGTCGTGAGTTACGCTAAAAAATGCCCACTATTGAAAGATAAAGCGATAAAAATCGGACTAAATGAAATATGTAGAAATCGCACTGCACGTGTTGATAATTTGGCAAGTGAGTGGGACAGAGAGGGAGAGAGAGAGAAGCGTCCCGCAGAAGCTAGACTCGTGTGCAAAATCGAATCCTAATTGGACGCAAGTCTATGCTTCAATGTGAGTGAGGAGGACAGATGACGACGGCAGAGTGTCGAGCTGAAGCTTGATGGGCATCGTTAGTGGGAGTGAGCGGGCGAGAGAGTGAGCATGCCAATTGAAGTTAGCTGCGCTTCCGATGTGGGAGGGGAATGGGTATCGTATTTAGTTATGTTAATTTACATAGGTTAATAAATATTAATTTTAATATAAATTGAAAATGGCATCGATCGCAATAAATATCTATGTATCTGACGGATATAAAATAAAAACAAATTATATTATGAATTTCTAAATATTACCACTGACCAAACAGTGATATTACATTTGATTTTGCTTGCCAGTATTGGCTAATGCCAATTCTAATCTGTAATGGTATGCAGAAAATCAATTTGAGTTCATTTTGCTCGCAGTGTTAGTCAAGGCACAGTCGATGCTCGGCCACGAGGTGTCAGTACTCAGCTTTTCGATTGTGATTTTTCAGCAAGCTTAGCACTCGGAAAAAAATTAAAATTGTATCTAAACTCAATTATAGTTTTCTATAAGACTCGGTTTTTTCTACAGTTTTTTTTTTGATCGTGAGTACAATGCATATTTACCAAGCAGAGCAGCATCCGCAAGCTTCCTACCGCGGGCACGTGGTGCCGCGTGCGCAGTCGCAGCAGCAGCAAGAAGCAGAGGCAATGACTATGCAAAATCTTCCACCAAATGGCTTTTTTCACAATGGCGTCTGGTATAATAGTAACATACAGCCACTTAACTCGCACCAGCCAGTGGAGGGCGGGGCTCCGCCCGTGCAAGTGCCGGTGACGCCGCAGCCGACGTATGAGGGGCAGCTATTTTACTACCAGCAGGGCAATGCAAGTGCCGCAGCCGCCGAAGCTGCTGTGGAGGCACATGCTCAGGTGCCAGCGCCGCCCGTCTATCAGCAGCCGTACCAGGTGGTGCAGCCGGTGCAGCCAGTGCAGCCAGTGCAGCCAGTGCAGCCGGTGCAGCCGGTGCAGGCGATGCAGATGACCAATCAGCCGGACAATCAGTCGGCGGCCTACAACAATCAGCCGTACAATCAAGCAAATCAGTCGGTACAGCAGTTGGTCGCTGCACCACCGAACTCACCACAAGTGCTTGGAGCACAGGCGAATGGAGTGCCACCGAATGGCGGCCAGTTGCTTGGGGCCGCTAATGTGCAGCACGCAATGCAGGTGCAGCACCGCATTGATCCACAAGTGCATCAGGCGATGGCTCGACGAATGCAGCAGCAGATGCACTTGCCGACGCAGCAGCCAATGCAGCCGCAAATAGAGTCGGCAATGCACCAGCCAATGCATCAGGCTATGCAGATGCACCAGCCAACGGATCAACAAATGCGTCACGCATTGCAGATGCAAATGCGTCAGCCAATGGATCCACAAGTGCATCCACCAGTGCATCAGCCAATTCAGGAGGCGCTGCAACAGCCAGAGCATCAGACAATTCATCGTGAAATGCAGCATCGCATGCAGATGCAGCAGCCAATGGAGCAGATGCGTCAGCCGATGCAGGCGCAAATGGAGTCGGCAATGCAGGCATCGATTCAACAGCAGGTGCAGCATCAAGTAGAGCAGCAAATGCAGCATCAAGCTCAACAGCAGATGCGTCAGCCGATGCAGGCGCAAATGGAGCCGGCAATACAGGCATCGATTCAACAGCAAGTGCAGCATCAAGTAGAGCAGCAAATGCTGCAGCAAATGCAGCAACAGCAAATGCAGCATCAAGCTCAACAGCAGCAAATGCGTCAGCCGATGCAGGCACAAATGGAGTCGGCAATGCAGCAGAAAGTGCAGCTTCAAGTAGAGCAGCAAATGCAGCACCAACTGCATCAGCAGCAACTGCAGCACCAACTGCAGCAGCAGCAACTGCAGCACCAACTGCAGCAGCAGCAATTGCTCCAGCAATTGCAGCAGCAGAAGCAGCATCAAATGCAGCAGCAAATGCTGGCCTTCAAAGAGGCGCCGATGCAAGTGCAAATGCATCAGGCATCGCAGCAGTCAATGCAGCAGGATCCAGGTGCGGCTGCACCACCCTCAGCGCTCGCGCCACAAGCACAGCAGCCCGAGTGCTGCATGAAATGCTGCTACCCGTGCTGCAGCAATCTGGTGGTTGGCGCAGCAGCGGCCGCGCAGCCAGCCGAGCAGCCAGCCGAGCAGCTAGCCCAGAAGCCAGCCCAGGAGCCAGCCGAGCAGCCAGCCGAGGCCGAGTCGCAGCTGCTCGAGATCGACATAGCTGTGGCCAGCGACGTCTACATCACCCGTACGAGCAAGAAGCTAATGGTCACCATCTACAAGCAGAACAACTCTAACAAACCGAATGCCCCCCAGAACGTCTATATAAATGGGGGTCCGGTAGCTGATATCCAGGTGCAGGTTGACCCAGTGCAGGTTGTCCCGGTGCAAGCTGACCCGGTGCAGGTTGACCCAGTACAAGCTGACCCAGTGCAGGTTGTCCCGGTGCAGGTTGACCCAGTGCAGGTTGACCCAGTGAAGGTTGACCCAGTGCAGGTTGCCCCGGTGCAGGTTGACCCAGTACAAGCTGACCCAGTACAAGCTGACCCAGTGCAGGTTGACCCAGTGCAGGTTGCCCCGGTGCAGGCTGACCCGGGCAGCAAGGCGGGCTCTGCGCCCACTAGCCAAGCAGCGACTCCGGTCGGCTACATTACTGCACCACAGATTGAGGTGAGTCCGCATTCTATATCTGTGTCTCTTTCGCTCTTCTCAAAAGCCCTTTCACTTCCTCAAGGTCACTCAGGAAGCGGCTGCATTGAAACCAGCACCATCCCAGGCCTGTGTGGAGCCTCCTAAATATTGCGCCCCGGAGCAGGTAAGTATATGGACACCCTGTACCCACTCATAGGTTGAAGAACAGGCTGACAAATGCCGTTTCTTCAGTCTATAAATATTGATGGGACAGATCTATCTCTATAAGACAAATCTAACATACGTTGAAGCATATCCATATGTACATATATGCTTTTGTTGCAACTCCTTATATATGTACATATTCCTATAAATATCGATTGCTTGTTGAGACGTGTGTGTGTGTGATAACACTAGACTTTATACTGCTTCCATCAAAATATTGATAAACGTCGATTTTCGGTGTTTTGTTTCTAGCTGCTTCTCTGCAAGTGAAAGTACTAGATATTTATGTATGTAAATGCATACATATGTACATATACTTCAGTCTGACCTTTACGCTATACGTCCTCATCTGTATCGGGAAAAATCTTTATGTGAATCTGATTTTTATACGAACCCATTGAAAATGGGAAATCTGCGTCTAATGAGCTTGTTGAAAGTGTGTAACAGGCAGAAGGAGGCGTGGCAGACCCCACAAAGTATATATAGTCTTGATC